GGCCAGACGTTTCAGAGCCATTCATTTTAAACATTTCACAGGCATAATTTTCAGCCTGATTTTAACCCATTCAAAACCCATCCACTTGTATTAAGTTAAAATTGGGCCATTTAAAGTTTTGGATTATCTTCAGTTGTTATAGTCAAATATATTTATGATCTCAGAAGGATGTCAATTAATGATTCTTAAGATCTAATCCTTCACATAAATGCATTACATTAAAAAAAGCGTTCATAATTTTGTTTTAAAAAGATCTTCCTTGTCAAAATTGAATGCTGACTGCCCATGGAGCCTTCATTGTGGTCATCTTTCAGAAGATATCTGCTTGTAATGGAGTGGAAGAAAGGTATATTTCACTTGGCTTTGCCTTTCATTGTGATGTGAATCCATGTACGGTTAATGCAAATGGTGAAATTATTTGCTTAGTAAAATGCAAATGGTTCAATTGTTTTGATGGTTCTGCAAATGGAAACAAATTGGGGTTGCAAAATGAAGGATAGGAATACGTATTGACTATCACTTCAATAATTGCTGCTTAATAACGATTTTTTTCTCTCACCTAATTTTCTCATCAGACTAAGGGATAGTTCCACAGATCCTGGGAATTCTCTGGTACCTTGTTCAGTCGACTATTTTTCACGTATGTTCCTCTCTGCCAGGCTCAGGCTTTTCTAATTTTAGTGTCAAAATACTGGATCAAAGGAATGGGGGTGGGGGAAATCTTCCTTGGATCTATCTATGTAGTCACTTTACACATTAAAAGAATGCAGTCATTTGCCTTTGATTTTAATCAAGTTAAACATTGAATGAATTAAACCTTTCAGAACTATTATCAATGCAAATTATCTTTCTTCTTCTTTTCCTCTTTCCCCTTTATTGATCAAGAAGCTCTCGGCTGAAAACTCTGGCACAGTTTTTTTGGCAGACATTGAAACAATGGCTTTCCCAAAGTTAATCCCATTACTTAACGTGTTTGTAAGAAAATGAGAGTAATGAAGGAATGGCAGAATAGTCATCCCTAGCAGAGGCAGACTATGGCCACTTGCAACCACCGTCCACCCACACTAACGGTCAATGTCTGCCTAATATAAGTTGGCGGATGGTCAAATAGAGCTGTTTGCACTATTACAATGTCACTGCAGCTAACCACAGGATGGCACTGTCAGTAACTATTAAATCCTTGTCTTCTTCTCCTTTCAAACTCACTGCCATCCTGCCCTACAAAGAAAGTGACTTGATGTGACAAGGAAAACCTCTCTGCTATCACCATATTCTGCACCGTCTGTCCTTCATCAACCATCAGGTAGGAAGTTGCATTGTGATGTCACTCCGTCACTTGGCTATCCATGTTGTTCCCTGCCTCTTCATTTATTGCATTTGCTAGGCATTTTTCTTAACCCAGAATTGAAAAAGCTGACATTTCTCAACAGCCTTTATCCTGCTATTTGCCACACTTTACAATTTATTGTTAGGTTCCTTGAGCACCCTAATCAGGTGTGAAATGCTTGAGGACAGTCTATGTAAGAAGATTATAAACAAGGATTAATCTTTGTCACACTGAATGAATATTGCCCAGCCCTAACAATTAACCTTAATTATGGTAAACTGTAAACTGAAAAGAGGTCCCAAAGTCTCTTGTGTCATTTCAAAGCAGAAAACATTCCCATGCTATATCAATTTGTATAGATCAACTGAATGAGGAAGCAAGACATAGTGTGAGTGCTAAAAAGATTGTAATTTACACCATATACAACTACGATGACAGTTTGAAATTCTTCTCTCAAGTGAAGTCTTGGAAAATAGGCAATTGTGTGATGAACAGAACATGAACATTGTGATTTAAGACTATCTCTCCCCTTGAAGTTTAAGCAGTTCCTTTGCTGAACAGAGGTCAACAAAATATCAACAGTCTTGACAATTTATTCAGCAACTGATTAATGGGCTGCAACTGGTTGAATTTCCTTTCTTGACAAATATCTTACTTCACATCTAATAATAAATGGAAGCTACACATCCTATTTGTTTGAATATCATTCTATACAGTCAGGTGAACTGTCAATCAGTGGTCATTTCAGTTTCACTGAAGTATTTGTAGTCTGTATTGGAAGTAGATTTCCACCTGTTATAAAAAAAATTCAAACAAAATATGCAAATTCTGTTCCTATCAATGCCACTCTTTCACGGATACTAGTTTACTTAAGATTTTCCACAATCCTAACTACACTTTGTTAGCTTGTGCACCAGCTCCTGTTAACAGCATCGCTTACTATGTTGTTTTGCATCTCCTCTTCCGAAACTAAAGCTTCTTCCTTTCTATTGTCTAGGCTCTGTTGACAGGTCCCAATCTTCCCTGTTCAATGGTCTTAAAGAATACAGCTTGGATCCAAACTCATTCCAGACCTGCACTATTGCAACAAGCTCCACTGTACCACACAATAGACAGGGATGGGAATATGGCAAGAACAGCCTTTTGTAAACCTGTCTTGCTCTATAGTTGTGTTTAGATTTAATAAAGTTAGATTTCATCCATGCATAATGATTAGGTAGAAGATCAAGATTCCCATTTCTGGGATGTTTGATGGACATAGACGGTCCTTATCTCTATGATACCCAAAACATGTCAAACCCAATGAATTACTTTTGACTTCTAATCACTATTGTAAAGTAGGAAGCTTGGTGCATAGTACAGACTCACAAGCAGAAGTGAGACAAATGGTCAGAAAATTCTATTTTGAAGGGTGTTGGTTGAAGGAGGATATTAGCTGAAACAGCAGAAATCATTGCAATGGAACATATAAACCCAACCATGAGAGCAGAAGGAATCTTTGTTTAATATCTCATCTAAATAAAAATCATGTGGCAGTCCACCAGTGGAATTAAATTTAGAAGAACTTGCAATCATCTTCATATACAACTACAAACTAAATGATCCATCTCAGCTTCTTTGGGAGGACCGCAAAATGACAGATGCCAGTCTTCAGCCAATTCTAATCACACCACATGGTATCAAGAAACAGTTGAAGGCACTGGATACTAAACAAACCATTACCATTCAGCATTGAAGATGTGTGCTTCAGAATTAGCTGCACTCATAGCCAAGCTATTCCAGTACAGCTACAACACTACATCTACCTAACCCAAATAGAAAACTGCCCGAGTACGTCCTATGCACAAAACCCAGAACAAATCCAACCCGGCCAATTACTATCCCATACGACTACTCTTGATCATTTACTTGGGAGTGTGGTGGAGGCAGGTTTAACTGAGGCATTCAAGAAGATACAAGATAATTATTTGAATAAAAACAATATGCAAGCATATGGGGAAAAGGCAGGAGAATGGCACTAAGTCATGATGCTTATTTGGAGATTTGGTGCGGAGACAATGAGGTGAATAGCCCCATTCTGAACAGTAACACTTCCATAATTATCAATGTGATAACTTGTAGTAGTATCAAGCAGCACTCACTCTGCAAAAACTTGCCCAGTAGCCTTCAATTTGGGCCAGCTCCTGACCTCATTACAGCCTTGGATCAAAACTGGTCAAAAAACTGAACTCCAGAGGTGAGGGGAGATTGATAGCCCTTAATGTCAAGGCAACATTTGATTGAGTATGGCATCAAGGAGGTCTAGCAAAACTGAAGCCATTGGGAATCATGGTGAATTTCTCCACTGGTTTGAGCACAAAAGAACATACTTATGGTTATTGAAGGTCAATCATCTCAGCCTCAGGACATCTCTGTAGGAGTTCCTCAGTAGCCCAACTATCTCCAGCTGCATCATCATCGACTTTCCCTCCATCACAAGGTCAGATGTGTAATGTTTGCTGAAGATTGCACAATGTTCAGCACCATTCACAACTCCTCAGATTCTGAAGCACTCTATGTCCATATGTCGCAAGACCTGAGCAACACTGATGCTTGGGTTAGTGTCAAATGGCAAGTAACATTTGTAACACACAACTACTGGATAAAAATAATCTCCAATCGGAGAATCTATCTATCTGGTCTTGACATTCAGTGGCATTACCATCTTACTCCCTAACTATCAACATCCAGGGGGTAATCATTGCCCAGAAAGAGAACTGGATCAGCCATATAAAGTACTGTGGCTATAGGAACAGGGCAGAGGCTGGGAATTCTGTGGTAAGTAACTTATCTACTGTCTTGCCACCATCTACAAGGCCCAAGTCAGGAGTGAAATTTAACACACTAGATCTTCCTGGGAGGAGTACAGCTCTAACAACACTCAAGAAGCTTGACACAGTCCACAACAAAGCAGCAAGTTTAATTTGCATCAAATGCAGCATTAAATAAACACTGCCTCAACATACTACCAACACATAGTGGCAGCAGTGGACACCATCCACGAGATGTATTGCAACAACTGACCTAAACTCTTTTGATAGCACCTTCTAAACCTGCAATCTCTCCAACCCAGAAAGATAAGGGCAACACCACTGCCTGTAAATCCCCCTTTAAGCCATTGTCCATCAGGACTTGGAATTATATTGCAACTACATACACTATTTCTTCACTGTCACTTGATTTGAAGTCCTGGAATTCCCTTCATAACAGCACTGTGGGTATACTTCCATCAAATGGACTTTAACAGTTCAACACGAGGCTCACTGCCATCTTCTCAAGAGCATTTAGGGAGGATCAATAAATGCCAACTTAGCCGGCAAGGCCCATTTCCTATGAATTAATAGATACAAACGTGTGAGTGCAAACATGTGGTCAAACAAGCTTGCAATACACTTGTTTCTCAAACAGAGCTATATACAGTATAATACAAATACATATTTGGCAATGTCACCTCCTTTTTAAATTTTAAACTTTGTTGTCATCATTAGAGAAGTGGGTCAAGCGATCAGTAAACCTCACCTAACTAGAATAATGGAACATGGGATAAAACATTTTCCATGCTTTCCAATCTGTATGATGTACTTGGTCTTTTTGACATGTTGTTCTTTGCTTTTAGCCAAATATTTGTTCTTACCTCTTAATGTTGTTCTGGGTGGGAGCACTTCATTGCCATTGTCAGTAGGAATGAATTTCCAGTTTTACTTCACTTCACTAAAGATCTCAAGCAAAATGTGTCCACCAAAGAGAGTTTCAACAGCTGTTGGTAGAATCAACAAATGTTCTACTCAAAAGGAAAATCAAATAACTGATTCAGAAGTCATAAAGACAATGACATCTTACAACAGATGAACCTGCCACACTTCTGTGCCATTTGCATCAAACGTGGCCCTGGAAAAGAACAGCAATTGAGTTTACCAAAAAATACTGTGTGAACCTTCCCCTTAAGTATTTTCCAGAAACAGAAATGCAGTTACATCTAAGATAGTAAGAACTGCAGATGCTGGAGTCAGAGATAACAAAGCGTGGAGCTGGAGGAACACAGCAGGCCAGGAAGCATCAGAGGAACAGGAAAGCTGATGTTTTGGGTTGGGACCCTTCTTCAGAAAAGAATAAAAGAAGGGTCCTGACCCAAAATGTCAGCTTTCCTGCTCCTCTGATGCTGCCGGGCCTGCTGTGTTCCTCCAGCTCCACACTTGGTTATCTGCAGTTACATCTACCTGTATAGTTATGGAAAGCAACACTATGTTGTAGCAATCCTTTGATGTTCATGCTTAGTGCAAATATTAATGCATTACATAGCTACCATCTATTAAGTATTCCATTACACTAATCAAAGAGGAAACAACATATTTTCTTGATGTCCAGGTGAGCACTCATTCTGCAACCAACACCATCAAAATCAAATTTCTGACTCTGACATTAATGAGGTCTTATTTTATGTCAAATGGTCACCACATTTATTGTGACCATAAATCTACATCTAACACTTACTTACCGAACAGCCAGTGTATTTGAAAGTAATTTATTTGTATGTAAAAGCATTTCTTTACTTTATGAAGAGCCATACTTCATACCTGTGTGCAATTAAACATGGAATATTTTAGTTCAAATGTTTAACATTACCACCAACTAGTTAGCATTACAATCAAATCAAGATTGCCTTTCCTAGCATTACACTCTGAATAACTCCATGTTCTAAGTTAGAAATGAAAATGAAGTCACGCTGTATTTAATAAATTATGAAGATTGAGTTTAATAGTTTTACTCTTCTAATTACACGGAACTACAACAGTTCATACATCATGCTTATATAACATACATGATGAAGCAGATATGCATTTATAGGAATAAAGTCACCCAACACAACTGTTAGAACTAAAATGTCATGTCTGGTGTCAGTCTGTTATAATGTGATGGCTCACATTTTGCTTAGTGAGTCCCTGATGCATTGACATGTTATGGCAACATACGCTTTTACATGCATTTTATGGCGAATAGCGATGGTAGATACTCCAAACTTTTCACTGTCAGATAGCTGACCAGGAATTTCTCCCACTTTGACTTTCTGTCATCAGGTTACGATGGAAGGATTTTGCAGATTGATACTCAATCTGTTTATGAATGCACCTTCTTTGGTCAACAAGTCCTAGTGTGGTACTTGAATTTGGAGCTTCTGGCTCAGAGGCAGATCACCACCGTCTACATTACAATACCACCTCTTATGATGTGCACATTATTGAAATTTAATGAGCATGCTTGAGTACATCTGGCTGTATCATGATCACTGTAATCTTTATGTTACAAAACTAATTCAGCATTCATGACAGTAAAGTACAATGATCTCCTAGTTATAAGGTAGCTCTATCTAGTAAGAATACATGGAATAAAAGTCTGTTTTAAATGCTTTGCACTGAAGAGCTAATAATGTACTGCAAACAACACAACAGGTGAGCATGGTGACATATTATGATGCCCAGCATTTTACAATACCAGAAACACACTTTGTAAATGTATTTGTAAAGTGCCAATTCTATTTTTAAAAAATTGTTTTGTGTATTCCAACGTGTTCCATTTTGTATGTTGGAAACTGTAATAAAACTGGAAAAGTGCTAAATTGGTCTGCTCTTTATTACTTATAAAAAGAGTTGCAAAAATGTGTACAATTATGTGATTAATCTGAAAACTATGCTCTACTTTGCATGCCATAAAAGTTTGGGAAAGCTGGCTTCAAGCAAATAAAGCATGAACAGTTCTTGTTTTTAAAAGAATACAATGTTAAAATACAAACGTAAAATTTTCACTGCTCTCTACTTGGTAAAGTAAGTCGATAACTTATGATTCAAAGAATGATGGAATAATACATTCCAGACAATACTCATTATTATTGTCAACTTCACACCTAAAATGAATACAACTGATTATAATAAAACTGAAAAACAGATTGTAACAAAATTAAAATAGGCTTGATCTCATCTCCCATTGGATTAGTAGTTCACTACCAAGTATTGTAAAAGACACTTGCTGCATTGATAGGATTTAGGTGCATATCTCTCCACCATCCCTGAAACATACCCCACTAAACTTCTCTTCTCAGTTAGAAAAGTCCATAAGGCACAAGTAGGAAGAACATAAATTCACTAAAAAGGCATGCATGAAATTGAATCTTAAAACATGAAAAGAAAATCTGCTGTTACCTGTAGGAAAGGTGAAAGAGGCCTGAATACTGTAATCAGTAACCAACAGTGATACAACTAACTCACATTCAAGACTGATTGAGTAACCAAATTCATCGATTCTTCCTGCTGCCATTCTCTACTGAAAGATACTTTGTAGAAGCACTTAGATTTTATACTTGTGTAGAGTATCCATTGTGTAGTCAGTATATTGTGGTTTGAATTAATACAGCAAGTAGTTGGTGATTGGGTTTAATTTGATTGAATTAATTAATGTTAAGGCTGAGCAAGGAGACCAGGTTCAAGTCCCACCTACTCCAGAGGTGTGTAATAACATTTCTGAACAGCTTGATTAGAAAATATTACAAATTGATATTAAGGTGGAAACAGGCAGGACTGATGCATGGAAGAAGCTGTAAGACTAAACAAGAAACAAACTATCCAAAAAGAAAGGTGACTTGGGCTCTGTTTCGTTGACTGGCTTGGATCCTATTGGGACTGATAGCAGAAGATGGTTGCCTATAAACAAAGATTGGAAATGAAGAATTCTTCACAGACAACGTGTTGTAAATCATATTACTTCAAGAAGAATGGCTGAGACCAAGTGCAAAATGTAATATGATTTCCCACTATTGTTCTGTGAAGCTGAACTGTATTATCAATGGGAAAATGAGGTAGAGACATAGACACTGATTAAGTCTTTACCCAAGCAGAAACAAACAAAACAGGGCCTTGATATTATCACTTCCTACTAGATGCTGGATCACAAATTAAGGATTTTTGACTCCAAGTCAGGAAAACAAGCTTTGAATAAGTATCTCATTTTAATACTTTGACACTTTGAAATGTGCCACCTGAAGATTCAACAATCAATACACAGATATAGTAATTAGGTCTTAATTAGTCACAGTCCAAAGGGTGAAAAGATATCCCTCCCCATTGGAGAGAGACAATGGGTTATCTAAAGTTTGAGAGGCCCCACTCTGCAGGCATGAGGTAAGACAAGGAGGGAGATCTCCATGAAGTACCATAGATATTATAGGATTCAACTAGGACCATTGGTATCATTCTGCCTCATACTGTAGCCAACCAACTTCCACACAGACAGAAAAGGAGAGTAAATGCATAAAATGTCACTTTTTGCAGAAAACCAGTTAAAAGTTAGAAAGTTAATAGATTAGTTGTGACTTTGCAGTGTTCTGGTGTTGTGTTAACTGGCCAGCAATGAAGAAAACGGTACATTTTCAGAAATCAAGAAAAATAAATTCTTTTAATTCCCCGCCCCCCGGAGATAATCCCCCATTCAACTCTAGGTCAGCAACCCTGGGTAGTTATTTTACACGTTAAGGATATTCTAAATGTTCATTGGACAACATTATATTAATGGTCATGATTATACTTCACTTCCTCAATATCCCTTATTGCCTTATTCTATAGCATTGCAACTTACCAGAGACAGAAAAAAAAGTTTGTATTTTGTATGAGACGAGAAAAATTGATTTTGTCCATTTAAAATAACGCGAACTTCAAACCAGTGTCTGCCTCTGATAGGACGGAATGTAGGAAATTAAATCGATAGTAAAATATAACCATCGGTTATATATATAATCATCGGTCCTTGGCTCTGGGACTGTAAAAGTTTACTGGACCGGCGGCAACTTTTTGAAGGTTTTTCACTGAAAAGTCATTCGACATCGGGACTTTCACTTTCGACTAGAGGACTTAGCCCCTGCGATTAATTTTCAACGGAGCACGCACACAAGGTGGAGTAATAAACATAGCGACAGTCTAATGGACAAGTCGTAGGTTTCCCTGCAGAGCTTCCATATGTCCTGCCTGCATCACAATTCTGTTAGTAACAAGGTTTATCAGAAAACCAAGTGTTGTTCTGTTGTCATTATGCATTCTGTGAGATAGCGGAATTAATTGAAAGATTTACCCAGAAACGGAGGACAACCATTGTATTTACATTATCACATCAGTTACTCTATAACTGAAGTTTGCTCACTGTGCTGGTCACTATCGCTGTTGTCCCAGACACCGTCCAGCTTACGTGAATTTGAAATGGCTTCAAACAGAAGCTGTTCCACAACTTGTTTTTAACTAAAGAATCGTCAAGTTTAGACTGATTAATCATTATTTGTACCAACCACCCTTTATCTCAAAAGAATGGATTAGGAATTCCCAGCAAACACACGTTCAGTTCTTACCAGGAGTTAGAAATGGCAAAATAGCAATAAACCAATGTAATAGATATTTCAAGCCTGTTTTACTGAAGGCGTTACTGGAGTTCATACTGTAAGGGTCATACAAATGAGCTCTGATGCAACAACAGCTACTGTACACAGATTTGCTCTGAAGGCGTGGCACCGTTTCTATGGGAATCCCATGGTGACCTGGGCGGTTGCAATCAAATTCTTTAAAACAAACAAACCTGCCGAGTGCTTGAAAGTTGCTAATTTAAGGTTCACAGGTGCAGGCACCCCTCTAACAAGATAGTCGCTGGAGGAGTCTTGTTTTTTCTAGTTTCTAACGAGCCTCGAAGTGGGTTTCTACTAGGAGGTTGTACTCCTGCCCTTCCATCCGTGTTTACAGTAGCAAGTCCGTAGTGTGTTTGTCTGTGGGGAATGGCAAATAGACCTGGTTATTGTTTAACTGAACCAGCCAGGGGTCGGAGCACGTGTTCAGCACTCACTATGCGGAAGTAAATCCTTCTCACTGATTCCATTCCAAAAGAACACCAGCCTCCTGCAGTCGATGCAAGCTGTTAGAATCAGGACAACAATGACCAAACTTCTTCCTCCAATTCAACCTCAAAACCATAAGTGCAAAACGCCCATATAAATATATTGTAAAGAAAACACAACAAAAAGTTCGATAAACCGAGCGTTATGGTTGGAGAGATTATCAGACAGTTTATTTAGGGAAATATGTCGTCTGTGTTAAATGGTTAAGTTCTATACTAATATAAATACGTTAAGTGCAAATGCACATGTAGAATTTTGAAGATACAATATTAGGAACTACTTTCTAAGTTTCGATAACATTTCCAAAATACAGCTCTATAATATTTATAAAGTATTTCTTGTTAAATGTGTTGAGAGCCAAAGCTAATTTTGCAAAAATGCTGACTTGCAGCTGTCATTATGACAAACGCATCTTTACGACCAATTGCTCCTTTTTTTCGTTAGGGATAGTGGATCCTGGGATTAAACTGAACTCTTAAATGTGTGTTTGACAATCAGGGAGGAGTAAGCTTGAAAATAACTGGGCTTGAGGCAAACGGTGCATTGCTTCACGGATCCCACCTCAGACTGGGACCTACAATGTGGCTGGATTGGTCACGTTGGGAGTGCAACCGGTTTTATCACGGGGCCGCCAAAGAATTCAATCAATCAAACCGCCTCCTTTGAATTTAGAGAGTTGCGGCCTAATTTCATTTTCAGCACAGCAAATTCACAATATCCACCAAACGGAAGATACGCAAATTAATTAAAATGTCGGGAATTTCTGAAGAAACGGCTCGAAATTAGGCCAAAAAAGAAAGTACAATGTTTGTAACATAATGCTGATAGTTAAACAGGTTAATGACCGAAATCCTGCTTTCCCATTGGTGGGTAAAGTAAGCACTTCCCTTTGCACAGGAATTTGTTCTAACCAGACGTGTAGAAAGTTTGGGTCAATGTATTACTTTTGAGTCTAGTTCCAGTGAATCTGCTGATGGGTGCGAAAATGTTGGAGAACTCCAGGAACAGTTCCTGTCCTTACGATACCATCCCGAAATTGTGAGCCGAGTCTACGAAACTTGGAATCTGTTAGCTTAATGTTTTATTAGAAGGTGGACGCTTTGGACACTGGAGTGTCAGCGTACGTTATCATTTAAACCCACAGCCCTGAGTCAGTGCCAACACTCGGCCAGTGATTTAAACAACAGTTTGGTATGTTAGTACCTTCTAGCATTTGAAATAAACACATGGAACTCAACCGTGAAACTTCTAAAGTTTGTTGACTTTAGAGATTCAAAAATATGTAACACTATAAAATGGGCTTGAGGATGCTGCAATAAAAAACGAGACAACTATCTCTTAGATACTTTGAGCAACAAGGTGTCTAGTAATGTATGCTACCATTTTAAATATCAAAAAATGGCCTGCTCTTCTAGGCACACCCTACCTATGAGACGTTTCCAGTGATTAAGGTGATGTGTTTAGCTATCTTTTGATTGCACAGCCAGTAAAAGGTGAAACGCCGGATTGGGCTGTTCCATTGCATGCAATGCCACGTTCCAGTTTTTTTTGTTTGCAATAAGCCAATGGAATCTGCCTGGCGATTACAGCTTTGCTTGTCACATGGTCTGATCTGTAGGCAGGTAAATGAGGACAGAAAGCAGCCATCGCTTTTCCCTATGTCAGAGTGAAAGAGATCAGCTTTGTCAGTTTCGCCTCGTGAATGAGCAAATCCACCAACACCTGAGGACCAGGTAGACTTGGAGGAGACACTTTGGCTGTTTGAGAGAGAGAGAAAAAAAGACTTTCTTATCTTCCCTTCCTTTTTTAAAAAAATTCTTCCTTTAAGTCCGGTAGAGGTGATCACTGGAAAGGTGAACACTTTTTTGTTTTTTTTCTCCTGTGTTTGAACCTTTTGCTTGTTGTAGTTCTCCGTCATGACGGCTTCGCACGATTCTCTGGTGGTTTTGTTTGGGGCAACAGCTGGTGCAAATGGGGCTAAACTTGGTTCGGATGAAAGGGAACTAGTTCTCTTGGTGTGGCAAGTTGTGGATCTACACAACAAGAAGGTATGCAATCGACCTGTTTTTTCCAAACGCCCCCCTCCCTCCCCTTCCTTCCCTTCCCTTCTCTCTCTCTGTGTGTCTTCTGCCTTTCTATTTGTACACAGACCTGTCCGCACGTACTTTGCTCCTTGTGGAAGTGTTGCTTGTGAACGGCTTGTTTCACGGAATCTTGCTGCCCCTGTTTGTTATCCCTCCTCTCCCCACCCCCCCCACACAAACCTCCCCGGCTCTAACAGGTGGGAGAAGTCCATAAAGTGCTGGTGAAAGCCGACAGCCTAGAGTTAAGCGAGCAGTGTAAAGAAGAGGTCAGCGTTAGCCTGGAGGAGATCGCCAAGGCGGAGCGGCTCGATCAAGTCCTGGAACAGGTGAGTTCCCGTGGGAAGGAGGCAGGGGAGGGGGCTGGTGGCAGAGGGAGAGAGAGAAGGGAAAACAAGCAAGTGTTTTTTTTTAGAAAAACTTCGCTTACCAGATCACAGAATGGGGAGTTTCGAGGGCAAGGACATAGTGTGAGGTCTGTTAAGGGGGAAGGGAAGGATAAATGTCGGATCACCGTCCGAAAAACGCAGTTACCCAAATCCAGGAAGAGGCGCCGCTCCCGGCAGCCACTCACCTGAGTCCGACAGGAACCTTGTCTCTTTTTACCGTCGAGCCTTAATGCCGCAATACAGGGTCTTTTAAAAACAAACCCCAGCTGAAGCGGATTCAGTGGATCGAAAATGTGGACTTGAGTGTTTATGGTGTTTTGCTGGGAAGCTTCAATAGTTTGTATCAGAACTTTGATTTTAAGACCCTAAACTATTTGGATCAAACTTGAGACCTCTCCTCTCTGAACATGGTTCAACTCGGTGACAGACCGAGAATTTTAAGTTGCAAATGTTTTCGAATCCACCTGATCAGAGATGCTATGACAGCTCCAGAGCAGGTGGGACTTGAACTCGGGCCTCCTGCTTCAGAGGTAGGGACATTACCACTGCACCACAAGAGCCCCTCCTAGAGGGAAAAGTGCATTGCCCAATGGCTAAACTGTGTTTACCTGTGCCTGATCTGATCTGAAAACAGCTGCTTGGGAAATAAGGACTCTTTCCATGTTAACAATACTTTTGTATTTTGTAAAACAGGAGACAGAATTAAATAGTTCCCATCTTTGAGAATTTGTTTACCATAATTTTAATTAGTTTTTGAAAATCATGTTTATAAATTTATTAAGTAATTTTTATATCTGGATGAAAACTTTGGAGTCATGGAGGTGGGAGATGAGATGGTGGTGTAGTCCTCAAAAGTTAATTTGTAAATGTAACAAATCTAACAGAAAGTCCTTCTCATTCATGTCTTGGCTGGTGAGCCATCGGCCAAAGTTTCTGTATAAAGTTGTTAGAAAGGATTGTAAACAGCCCATAATCTTTGAACTGATAACAAACCCCCCATTTTTAGATTTAAAATTAAAATATTTAATTAGCACAATGAGTACAGCTCATTCTGTAACATGAGTACCAGGTTTTACTCTTTATTGTTATACGTACAGATAGCATGTTTTTGTCGATGCCAATGTGTCATTCAGTGGTCATGAATTATGTTGCTTTCAGTAAATAGATCTGCTGTTAATCCCTCTTCAATTAATCGTAATTAATTCCCTCCTCTTCTTCCCTCCCAACCACCTCTACACCCAAAAAAAGTGTTCCCTTTCTTGTAGGACAACAAACAAACTGATACTTGACAGAATGGAAGTGATGAGTTCAAGTTTATCAAATGAGCTAAAATGAACTCGTGTTTATGTAGTACTGTGATGTTGTTTTGGCTTGCCAATTTTTTAAGACTGAAGATCAGGAAAGTCTGTCCCTATGATCAAGACACTGTCTAGGTGCCCTGAACTGAATGTCCAAAAGAAAGTGTTGGCTAGTCTAAGGAACTGATAATGTCGTAGTGTCCACTCCAACAACCAGGCATGTTGACAACTCTTGCAGTCTGGAGGGTTTAGTTCCGGAAAGAAATCTCTTCCCTTACACAGCCTCTGGGATCCTTGTGTGGAAATCTAGGATGAGTAACCTATCAAGGAATGGATGAGAGGTTTTAGAAATAGGTTCAAGCTTTGGTACATTTTCATCCATCCAAGGTCTTCAATTAAAGACCTTCAAAAATCGCATTTTTGAAATGTGGCTAAATTAAGCTGTGGTAAAGGATTGAATGGTTGCCTCATTTCCCTCTTGGCAATGCCCATCAGATTTGGCAGCAGCTGTATTGAAATGAATGGTTTTGATGTCTCGAGTTGAGGTCTGTTGTGAAAGCCTTGCACCCCAAACACTAGCCTAGTTTTATATTGTCTGAAACCCAGTTACCTTTTCTCAATCAAACCATCCCTGTCTCTGATTTTTCCAACATTTTTGATTCTTCTCTTCCACCTGTTTTGTGGTTCTTGTTTTTTGTTGCTTTGTAACAAAGGGGCATCAGCCACTTGCAAGTGGCAAGCAAGTAATCACCTCATGGGTCTAATTTCCTGCTCTTTACATTTTTTACAAATCTTCATCATATTTTAGTTTTGACAGGATTCTTGTTCCCTTGCTTCCTGACTGCCCTCTAAATGGCTATTGTTGGACAAAATCATTTGCAGCCATTGTAGAGTTTTCGACAGAATCTATTGAATGATTAACTTTGTAACGCTTTCAATCTATTGACAAGTTATTTAGTGGAATTATTCCCTTGTCCGTAGACATTTCTCACATTTTTATTATGTAAGAAATAAGGGAAAATTGAAGCGTTTTACCCATGTTATTTTAGTTTCCCTGTAATCTCAGCTAATTAATTTTAAACGAGAGTTGGAGACTTTTCTCTGTTTCCCATCTTCCCCACCATGGTTCTATTGAAATCAACAAGAGATTGATGTTTAGTTCTTTCTTTACAAGTTTGACCACTGCATATCCATTTAGTGAATTTAACATCATATTTTATTCTAGTTTTCAGCCTCTAACCTAGAAATAGACAAGATCCTGTTTTATTCCTAAAACAAAGAATTAAATTTATACAACACTCTTTTTGACTTTGGGTGATCTCAAGGTCACAGTGCTGTACAGTCAATAAAAGACTTTGAAGCAGTCACTTTTGTAAGGGAGGAAATAGAAATAAATTTGTCTGCACCAAACTCTGACAAACAGCACTCATCATAACTGGATAATCTGCTTCAGTGATGTTGTGTGAGTGACAAACATTAGCCAGGACACTTGGGGTAACGTGTCTGCTCTCTTTTTTGATGTTACATGATCTTTTACAACTAGCTTGGAAAACAGAGTAGTTTAATATCCTCCACTCCAAAAGGTGGAAACTCTGCAGTGCAATTTCAGTTCTTCAATGAAATATTGCCCCGGATCTTTGTGTTCAAATCCTGGAATGAGTCTTGAACACACAATTTCTTGATTCAGAGAATGGTTCTATCAACTGGACTTGAGGGAGAACGAAGGTTGCTGTTGCTAGGGGTATATATTGAAGTGGATGATTTATTGAGCATGAATTTTAACCAGGTGGTTTGTTAAGATGCATTAAAATTCTGAAGTGTATTTGAATGTTAAACTGTGCTGTGAGTATTTTCAATTAATAATGCTGTTTTCTAGCATTCTGCTTGTTTGTAACAAGACTTTGTTCATGCAGAAGTGTTTTGAACTGGAAGTAATTGGAGCATTCGCGATGTTCGATTGTGATGTGAATTGTTGTTGGGAGATTAATTGTCTTTAAGCGGTCGAACGTGTTAGTCTGCTTTGTGGTCCAAGCAATGACAAAGTTGCCGAACTAGTATTTCCACCTGTAAAACCTTGTATTTCCTTTTAACCCTTCCCCACCCAGATTGCCAGCTCCCGTTACAAACTTAAAAACCTATAAACAGTAGATTTGAAATGGTTGAGAACGTATTGTTTTTCTTTTTTTTTAAACAAATCTGAGTTTAATTGTTTTGTAAAAGGTTTCATTTGCTGAAGTCAGTGACATTTAAGGTGTGGTGTTCCTGATGCAGGTGACTGTCATTTTGATGCTGCCATCAGTGCAAACCACTTGATGTTTGCAGACTTGGTGGAGCCACTCGTAATTGTTAGGGGAGGGCACTTCGGGTTCAGTGCTTTTGTGGGCAGAAAGATGTAATGAAAGGGATGACATGTTTTTTTGCAGATGTTAGAGCAAATTCAAAATTGAAAACTTGATAAATCTTGAGATGCATTTAAAGGGATTGATTCTTTTTTAATATTGGGAGTTTAGCATCTTTCAGTGATGAAATCTCAATCTTGAAATCAAAGAATAGCAGTTTTGTGTAATACTACTGTGCAAAGCTGAGTAGGCAGGTGACTTAGACTGAGCCATAGAGATATACAGCACGGAAAAGACCCTTCCGTCCAAGTCGTCCATGCCGACCAGATTTCCTAAATAAATCTAGTTCCATTTGCCAGCATTTGGCCCATATCCCTCTAAACCCTTCCTTTTCTGATGAAGGGTCTAGGCCCGAAACGTCAGCCTCTCTGCTCCTATGATGCTGCTTGGCCTGCTGTGTTCATCCAGCCCTGCACCTTGTTGTCTCTATTCATATACCTATCCAGATAAAAGCACTGCAGAGTACCAGATTTAAAGTGTTAAACTGAATTTAGCTACAGGTGATGCCTCTCAGCTGTTAAAAACTTTGTTCCACTTTATTTCAAAATTGAATTTCTGTGGGTATTCTAGATGTCTCACCTGCCTACAGTGTGAACAAACTCCTAATATGCCGTAGAAGTAATGCAGTTGAATATTTTAGATTTAGGAGGCAAAAGTTTATGAATGTTGGCCAGTGTAACTTTTTGTGGTTTAAATGTTGTCAGGCTATCAGGACTCCTCCCACATTGTTTAAAAAGGTGTGAACAAATGATTGCAAATGGAAGAAATAAATATATGAATCATTTCTTTCTTTTCAGTTCAGCCAGGTTTTATCGAGTGAGTTGAAAGCACTTGGGAGGAGTTCATATTGTCTTTGTACTGATGGCCAATTACTCATTCGCCAGGTCCTACACCCAGAAGCATCCAAAAAGGTAAAGAAATTTGACAGCTGTAAATGTTTATCATTAATCAAACTACAACATCTTTAGGCAATAAATTGGCGTGAATGTAATCTCTACTGAACCAAATGTGAAGTTTTCAGTTTGGATGTCTCATAAGTTGCACTCATCCAGAAACTGAAGTAATGCAATTAGCCTGATAGAAGGTACAGTGTCAAAACTGTGCTTGTGCTGCATTTTGGGTCAGCCACTTTGGGCAGGTTGGGCTGACACGGTTTTGGTGGATTGAGGGTCACTTGGAGTTTGAGCAGACTGATGCACAAATGGTGAGACTTGCCAGTCCTGTGCCATGCAGCATTTAGCCAAATTTCTGGGAAAGTTAATTTTAATATTTCAAAATAGAAAATAAATGCCTGATTTATTTTTAAACCAGTTTTTTTTTTGAACCGCTGCAGTTTTTGGCTGGTTTTGACAGTGCCCGTAGTTATTAAATCCATAGATCCCAGCTTCCATTCCTTGAATTGCCTAATATCACTATTGTTTTTACTCTGACATGATATTCTGGTGTACAAAGTTCCTTAAATACTAATGAGAGAGCATATCACCTGAAAGTCAATTGACTTACTGCTCCGAGAATTGGATTTAGTATAGTGTGTTTTGAATGGTCATAGCATTGGATTGTGCCTGGCAGGTTATGGTTTCTTTAAGAAAATAAATCCTGTTCATAAGTTTGTATCCTTTTGGACTAAACTTGATTAACCTGCAATGCCTAAACCTCTGAGATGATGGTGGATAACATAAGGGTCGGTCATTCAATAGTGCCCATAGTTCCAGTATTCTGATCAAGCTCAGTAGCTGATGACCTCAATATGTTTGACATCACTAGTCATAGCTGGTAGATAATACCAAACATTTTTCCAGGCTTAGCAAAGATTTTTTGCTTTCTTAATTTATTTTCCTCCTTGACTCCTGGGTTAATTACTGTGCTATAATACTCTTGGTTCACTTCGTAGAAATATGTTAAATAGCATTTTTAGTACCTTTTTATGTAATAAAAAGGTGTCCAGGCATTTCACTGGAGTGTTACATTATAAAACGATGCCAATCCTTGTGCAATATCAGGGCAAATGTCCACCAGCTGCTTCTTTCAAGGTTTTATTACAGAATTGTGACAGTACAGGAGAAGGCTATTTGGTCTGTATTTGCACCAGCTTTCCGAACGAATAAGAAGTAACTTAAAGGAGGAAAGGAAGGAGCAGCAGAGATGTTGAAGGGAATTCAGGAGCTTGTTTCGGCAGCTGATGGCATGACCGTAAATGGTGGAGCACCTAAAATTGGTAATGCTGATGATGCTGGAATTGGAGCGCTGATTGCTTGAGAGGAATTTAGGACCGGAGGAGATTAGAGCTACAGAAGGGCCAGGTATCAGTAAAGTTCTTGAACCCCAGCTGCCTTTGTATTTGGTAGAATGTGAACTTTGCTCACCTTTACTTCCAGGATCGTTCTTGTATTTTGTACAATTCCTTCCTAATCCTGCTTTTGATATTAAAATTAGTCTGACCAGTGCATTATAAAAGAAAGCATAATATTGTGGAGAAATTGGGATGCTCTGATTGCAGTGTTCTGTTCCATTGGTAACGCTTAAGATAATGAAACATTCTCTGTCACATGTAGCAAGACCTGGACAGTATTCTGGTTTTGGGCTGATAAGTGACAACCAGCATTCGTGCAGCATTCGTGTCAGGCAATGGACATCTTCAAATAGAGAATCTGACCATTTCTTCGTAACATTTCACGGCATTGCCGTTGCTGAATCCCTGACCCTAACATTCCTGGGAGTAATCAATGATCCTTCGTGGGCTTGGAATTCTGAGGCAGGCAACTCTCTCCTTTTGACTCTCTGATCTGTCCATTGTTGTGATGGAATTACCTGAATGAGGACAGCTCCAACAAAGCTTGATACCATCCAGGATACAGCAGCCTGCTTTATTGACACCCCGTTCACCACTTTAAACATTCACTCCCTTTGCCATTGTGCAGAAATGGCAGTACTGCAAGAACTTGTCAAGGACCATTCTACTGAACTTTCCAAACTTCTGAACATCTGTACATAGAAGAAGAGCAGTAGATGGGTCACCTGCAAGTTCTCCTCCAATTCATTAGATCATGATTCTGTTTTTGCCACTGGGTTAAAAGCCTGTAACTCCCTGACAGCACTGCTGTAACTGCACAAGGCTTGCAGCAGTAGCTCTCCCTCTTGAGGGCAATATGTACACAAAATCCTTTCTCGTTGAGAAAGGGTCATGGAGACTGCTGATGGTGTTGCCATGGTGTAATAGGTAGAGATTGTCAATCAATCAGTCTTGTGGCCAGGCCTGAGGTTAATCGGGTAGCTATGATTGACTATTATCGGATCCTGCTGCATTTCCATGCCAACCCTGGTCATACAAATCAGCACCCTGTTTCTGTGCTGCATAAATTGGTGTTTCTTTTCACAGTTTGGGTTTCCTCTGTCCCAGTTCTGATGCAAGAAGAAAAGTTTCTTTTTGACTTTGCCTCTTTTTTTAAGCAATGTTTTGTACTCATTACTTTTTAATTGTAATTTTAAACATTCCACCATTCTTGGAACCACACTTTTTAAGAAGGATGCCAAGGTTGTGGAATAGATAGGGAAGAGATTTACCAGGGATGATGCTTTAGTTATGGGATGTGATTGAGGGTAATAGGTTTGCTCTCCTTGGAAATGAGGAGCTTGAGCAGAAATTTGATAAAAGGTGTTCGATTTGTTGGAATGCTTTTGGAGTGAATAAGCAGACACTATTGCCATGACAGAAGGACCAGTAATGGATTTCGGACGCTTTTCAAAAGTGCAAGTGCAAGTGCCAGCATGATTTTTAAAATAACAATTATTGTAATCTCAGATGCTTTGACTAAAAAGGTTGTGGAAGCAGATTTGGTGATAACTTGCAAAAGGAACTTGGATAATTATTTGAATGGAAAGCAATATTTGTAGGGCTGTGGGAAAAGAGTGGGGTCTTGTGACTAATGTTATGGTCTACTGAAGAGCATGCAGAAAAGCATGATAAAAGGTCTCCTTATCATTCCATGGTTTTTGACTAGACTTAGTATCTCATTGAAGGCTTTTCTGGAAGTCCGAACAATAATACTATTATTTACATGATTATTCTGTTTAACAGTGTGGAACATTTCACACATGGGACCTCTCCCTTCTAACCCTATCGATTTCCTTCAGCTCTGCCTAGGATAATACCCTATTCCCTATATTTTTGATATACTTTTTGATAAAGGTGACTCCTGTAATTACCTGAGTTATCTTTATCTCAATCTATTAAGGGTTTTTACTGCAACCTGGTCATTTCCAAGCCTGCAGTAGCTATCTGCTACCATTAGATAAAGGAATATGAATACATCAAGAAAAGTGAAACTATGTATATTATACACTGCCTTCCATAATCTTCAGGCATCCCAAATCACAGGGTTATTAACCCAGAATGTTCTGTGGGGACTTTCTGGAAATCTGGGGGTGGTTTAAAAACAGGAAGTGCTGGAGAAACTCAGCAGTTCTGGCAGCATCCGTTGAGAGAAATGGTTAACATTTTGAGTCCAGACTGTCTCTTTAGAATGCCTGGAACTGATTGTTCATTAAATGAATAAGTAGTTATCGCTTCTGTAGTCCTCAAAGAATTTATTATTGTTTGTCCTCATTTCGTAAATGTCTGTGAAAACTGGCTAAAGGAGGACAAAAATACAAGTCATTAACTTCAAGTTGTAAGTGGTGAATTCTATAATCCATTAGTTATCTCAATCCTTTGTTTGTAAGCAATAATTTGTGGATTTTTGGGTTTTTGTTGAGTGTACTGGAGTTTTGTCTATACTTGTTACTTGCTGAATTATTGAGTCAACTGTGATAGTTTAATATTCCTGGATTGCTACCCCATGCTTTCAGTTGTGACTTGCTGCAGTCTTGTTACCCTTGAGCTGAGTTAGTATTTAGTGTTACTTTAGTGCTGATATTGCAAAAAACTGTGGATCTGGTTTCAACCATCTATCTTTGATGTTTTGAAATATAAACTGCATTATTTTTGAAAACCTTAGCCGTAACTTTTGTGTGCTTTAAACTTAATCGGTTTTCCTTTTATCTTTTATAGAATTTGGTGCTTCCAGACTGTTTCTACTCGTTTTATGACCTGCAGAAGGAATTTCACAAATGCTGTCCAAACGCAGCCTCCATAAACTCCATCAGTTCAATGGCCGAATGTATCCTTCCTTCCTGCTAACCATCTGTCCTGTGCCTGGGCACTTGTCGAGAAATGTATCTGCCTCAGTGTTTGCAGTTCTGATTCTAGATCACTGATCTAGCAGTGGATGCACATTTACTGTGCTCCAAAATAACACATACTTCAGTATAAGAGTGATGATGGCCGAGTGGTATTATTGTCAGACTGTTAAACCAGAGACCAAAGTCATGTTCTATGGACCTGGGTTCGAATCCTGCCAAGGCAGGTGGTGGAGTTTGAGATCAGTGGAAGAAAAATCTGGAATCAAGAGTCTAATGCTGACCATGAATCCCTTGGTTGATTGTTGGAAAAACTCCTCCGGTTCACTAAGGTTATGTAAAGAAGGAAACTGTCATCCTTACCTGGTCTGGCCTACATGTGACTCCAGATCGTGTGCAGTTAGGGGATGGACAATAAATGTTGGCCTAGTCTGTTATGTCCTCATCCCACAAATGTACCAAAGAAAAGCACTTTTATTGTCATAAACAATTGCAAGGCACTTGCAGGCAGCACTTATCAAATAAGATTTGACCCTGAGACACATGTAAAGTTGGGGAAGATGATAAAAGCTTGATCAGAAGTGTGTTTTATAGAGAGCCTTAAAGGAAGAGAGGGAAGCTGAGGGTTTTAAGGATCCAGATCCCAGGCTTTGGCAACTGAATATTTTTTGTCTGGTTTTGCATATATGATGCAACTAAATCCTATGGGCATGACTGAAGACCAAAACAATACAAAAAGTAAAATCAGTGTTCACAACTTGTGTGCATAAGGATGTTGGAAGTTTCAGTGCAGCAGTTTAGGGATCTTGATTGATATATTGATCAAGGATTTGTAGTCGACATCTCTCATTGTCCTTTGTGCTTTTGTCCCTTCAAAGGGGCATTTGACCGATATCTTAGAGTAGCATGCTCTGATGAGGCCCATTTATCCTATTCTGCACCGCAAGCAATGGATGGTTGATTTCACTTAAGAAAATCAAACAAGATGCAAGTTTATGGGAAGTTGGGAGGATTCTGACAGTGTAACTTCCTTAATGCTGTGTACAGACTTGGAATTGAGAACAGATAATACAGCCAATGAATATGGTGTATTTGAAGTTATTACCATGGGTGCAGTTATTTTAAGTTTAATAAGCGAACCTTACAGTAAGACTTTTTTTAAAAATTCAGTATTCAAAGTCTTTCAACAGTAATCATTTGGCATATAGTTAACTTCATTTTCTCTTTTAGATTATGTGTTCAAAAACTTTGAAACTGTCAAGTACAAATTTGAAACAGGTCCCTGGTAAGTGGTGCTTTAGTATTTAGACAACATTGTATTGTTCAGGAATGATAAATGAAAAATAATACCTATGTATTGAGTAATAAAGTTTCTTAATTTACTTTTAGTACTGCCTGCTTAGTGGGTAAAATGAAAAAACAGCCTTCAATGAAGCAATTAGACTTTTTGAACTGTTGCATAGGTCACTTTTTACAAATAAGTGATGGATAAAATCTTAAATCTTACAGTAGCAAGGCTGAAGGAGTAAATGGTGAAACTGTCATTAGAGCAAGAGGTCTACCGTGGCAGTCGTCTGACCAAGATATTGCAAGATTTTTTAAAGGACTAAACATAGCCAAGTAAGTGTTCTTTAGAATAAGAACCTAGGCCTGTGAATGCATTGTGGATTTAAGTTAAAATGAGTGCATAGCTCAGCTCAATTTGCCAAATGTAATTATCATCAAATACCTTTAATAAGATTTCCCTCCAATTATACTGTTCTCCACCTTGAATACAAGTGAAACTGTGAAGTGGGTCATAATATCATGATCTGGTGGCCCCAATTGTTATGGAGGAAATATCCAGTTGAAGTTAGTGCTGGACAAATTGAATTCTTGCCAAGAGCCTGGCCTGATCACTTTGCTTACCAAAATAATAGTAAAACATAAGCAGACTATATTGCGGTTTTTGTTTTAATGATAAAGCAAAACAAAAGGTTATTAATGACAGGAACTTTTTTTTAAAAAAAAGGGGAAAATTCCACCGTAACACAGATTCAAACTTTTCTGGTGTGTGTCTTCAGAGACAACAGTTGTACGTGGATGCAGCTTTGCCTTTTGTGATGCCTGCCGTTTGCTCCCAATAATGAATGCGTTGCCATTTTCTCAGTTTATTGACTTATTTTTTTTTTTGTTATAGAAAGAGTGCTGTCAGACATCCCAAGACTTCAAGATTTTTCAGGATAGGATAGAAGTAAAGCCCATGGGATTAAATAGACAGAGTTGTGTGGATAGAGAATTGCCTAAGAGGCAAAAAGCAAGAGAGTGCAGGTCTTTTTGTTGTGGTTCGAAGAGAGTGCATTCAAGACAAACTAGAAAAGGCAAGATCAAGAACTGTCTTCAGTGTTGGTTTTGAGAGAGCTCTTTATTGTGTTTTTAAAATTTCCTTCCCGGGATGTGGACACCACTGGCCGGATCAGCACTGTCCCTGAAAAGGTCATGATGAACTGCTGCCTTGAACAGCAGGATTGACTTGATGGTGACCTGAGATGTCTGTGTGGGACAGAGAGATACAGAAGGTGCTCAAAATGCAGAGGTTACGGTCAGCTGTTACTTTTGAGATTAGGTCAAGAAGTAACATTCCCTCCGGTGGAGGAGAATGTAATACTTTCAGACCTGATATACAAAATAGGTAGAAATGTGTTCTTTGCTAGGAAATGCTTTTTGTTTGAAAACAGAACACAAAAGATCGAAACAGCTGCATCCTACTTTAATTCTTTTGTAGGGGGAGAAATGGCATGCGAGTGACCTCCCTAGGCCACTACTGCCAGCCTATACAAGCAGTGAACTAAGAATACTTTCTCCCTCCAGTTCTATTGGCCTGCCACCTGGTTTGTGTAACTATTCTCTCGTCTCTCAACAGCCATGATTCTCTCGTTCTCTGTCAAAAACTGTACGCATGCCATTTTTAACAGTGTCAACAAACCTTTAAGGGGAAGCAGTAAAACTTAGTTACCTTCACCAGTGTTACACATAGGTTTCTCAGAACAAGGAATGCCCTGAAAGAGTTGCATGTTGTAAAGGCAGATCAAAGTAGAGCACTGAATTTTGTTTTTTAGACTGCCTATTAAAGATGCAATGTGTCAATAGGGTTTAAATATTGTTGAGTGGATTGAGAGCTCAGATTTGTAGTTGGCACTAATGGATGCGTCAGTGAACGTTTATAATGGAAATTCCCTGGTTTTATTGTAGAGGAGGAGTGGCACTGTGCCTCAATTCCCAAGGAAGAAGAAATGGCGAAGCACTTGTCAGGTTCATCAATCCCGAACATCGGGATCTCGCGCTTGAGAGGCACAAACACCACATGGGGAGTAGATACATTGAGGTGGGTACAAATGTGAAGCACCTTCTAAAAGTTTCACTTAAAATGGCAATCTTAAAGAAAATGAATAGTTAATTATGTGGAAATTAATTTCCATTCAGGTGTACAAGGCTACTGGAGAAGAATTCTTAAAAATTGCCGGAGGTAAGTATTTTTTTTTAAAAAGAAAAATCTCCACTGGAGAATTTAGAATATGCTGTTAAACAGAATCAAGCTCAGGAGATCAATGGTGTCTAAATCACATTGTCCATACCCCCATCCCTGAATCTGTTTTGAAGATTGTACAGGCTGGTGCATGCTGTTAATGATTAATGGTCTGTTACAACTGTGCTACATGAATTCCATGACCCTAGAAATCTGCAGCCGTGCCACATCACTATAAACCATGGCTGAGTGAGGCGTCCTTTCTAATTTCAGAACGAAGGTCCTTATCCTGCCTGAATTCTTGGATCGGGAGCATCTCCATTGAATAAGATTTTGTTCCTGCCAGCAGTGGTGATATCACTTGTCACCCATTTGTGAGGGTGGGGTGGGCGAAGAGTTAATGAGAGCAGCACATGAGGGAAGCTGAAGGCAGATCTGAATAAAAATGAGGTATTTAACTCCATTGTAGGCACTTGCCTTTAGTGGAACCTGACCGTAGAGACTGGTTCTGTTAAGGAGAACACCATTCAACACCTGTGTGCCTCACTTCTGTGGTTCTGGTAACTGGAAGTGTAGAGGTCACTTGCAGAGAGAACTGGATGGAATTCTGATACCATGCCAATTAGTCATGCCTCCTGAAGACGCTGCCAATTTGGGTAAGCATCAGAAACATCTACCCTCTCTTCCTGAGGAAACCCATTGCATTTCTGCACTGTTTGGATAACAGAGTCCAAGTCTTAAAACATGCTTGCCAGCCCAGAATTCAACTTGAAGGGCTTATGCAGAATGAACCCCCCTCTCCATTCCAGTATAGTCATGGAGTGTGTATTGCTGCCATAATGACATTCAGTACCTTCTGTCCTAAAGTGCTTAAAATTGTGCACGTTGACTTAGTTCCAGATCATCCGTAGTATTGCAAAATTTATCCTAAGAGTTCTCAAAATGGCAGCTATCTGTTTGCTTTTAATGCTCTGCTTTCAGCTGAAGTAGGTGACTGGCAATGAATGCGCTGCTCACCTCGTTTGTAAAATGATCTAGGCATTGTAGGAAGAGAGAAGGAATAGTTAATTTAATTCCTGGTGTAGTGAAATGATCAAATAAAATCAATCCTTAATACTGTAAGAGCACCCAAATTGTTCATTCCTGCAAGTACGGCTGTACTCGGTAGATATCTCTGGCTGAGAATTTTTTTGGTCTTTCCGATCTTTTGCCATAATAGACACCTCCTAAGAGACAAATTTTATGAAGCAGGAGTCCAGTTAATACAATTCTAGAAGTAGCTGCTTTGCCTGTCTGACCTGATAAGTGACTCATTATGATTAAATCCATTCTCATTGGACAGCTAGTTTCATTAAATCCCTGTCAGTAAACTCTTTTTGAGGTGAAGGAATATAAAATTTAGTTTGAGATTGAAATGACCATTGTAATCTGCTGTAAGGTTTGTTCTTTCAGATTTGTTATTCATATTGAACTTCATCATTCACATGTATTTAACTGATCTCTGGTGATTGCTTTGTTTGTTGACATTTTCTGTTTTAGAGAATGAGAGGGTGGTTGCTTAGTCGATGTACTATTTTGAAAGGTTACTTTTAAATGCAGGTACTTCGAATGAAGTGGCACAATTCTTGTCAAAGGAGAACCAAGTTATAATACGAATGCGTGGACTGCCTTTCACAGCCACAGTCGATGATGTCCTGGGCTTCTTTGGAAATGAGTGTCCTGTTACAGGTGGCAAGGAAGGGCTCCTCTTTGTTAAATACCCTGATGGGAGACCGACTGGGGATGCGTTTGTGTTGTTTGCCTGTGAAGAATTTGCACAAAATGCACTTAAGAAACACAAGGAGATATTAGGGAAGCGTTACATTGAACTGTTCAGGAGTACTGCAGCAGAAGTACAGCAGGTTGGTGTTACTGTGTCATGTAGTACACTTGACTGAATATTATGTGGCATTTGTGCAGGGTACTGATGTTGAATTGAATGAGCAATTGTCATTTTATAGCTCTTATCTTTTCCCCATTTCATCCTGCTTTTCTTGCTCCAAATTCTTCAGTTCTGGTACTGACTTTCCTTGGTTTGAAGTCTGAGAATCTTCAGGCACAACAGGCTGCTTAATCAATCATGCCTATGCCAGTCCTTTCAAAGAATTACCTAGTTAGTCCACAATCGATGAACCTTTTTAGAAATTGATCTGTTGTGAAATGTTACTTGAAGGCTTAGTGTTTAATGTCAGCTAAACAGTACAAATCAGGCTCAACACTTCCAGAAAAACATTTGTAAAGTTGTCTTTTAATGTAGAGTTTTAAATTGGGAATCCCAACAAGCCGCCTTTTTAAATAAAATTATCTTGATGCTGTAAAAACAGCCAAATTGTTCATTCCTGTAATAATGGCTGTTCTCAGTAGACTGTAGCTGTGTTACGAAACCTCTGTGGTCGTCATATGCCAAGTTGGTATTTAACCTTCTGGCCCAGAGGTAGGGACACTGCCACTGTGCCACAAGACCCTGTTAACCCAGTTATAGCCTACTAGCAGTGATTAACTGATTCTGGGTCACTGTTTCGTTTCTTGTGGAGAAACCATTTTAAAAGTTTTCAAATAATTAGACTGGTTTTTAAAGCAAAAGTCAATATCTTGAGACACGTTCTGTTGATTCTGCCAGATTGTTCTATCTATGGTAGATTTTTATATTTCATTCTTGATCTCTGGATTGGATTTTTTTCTTTCTCCCTAATATTTAATACAAAGACAATACCCCCTTGAATTAAGGGGTATGAATGGTTTACGTAAGAAATGTGATGCCTGGTATTAATATAACAGACTTATGAAATCTGCACGGTGCTAATCCCTCCAATATCATAAGAGCTAAGTACTTCCTTGTACTCCTTTAACCAGCCCTCTGGGGCTGCATTTACAACACAGTTGTAACATTAGGATGAGGTACTGGGAAGTTGATGTTAAGTTTGGAACAAAGACTCCGTGGGAGCACTTAGCAAAGTGGATGAAAAGTAGCCTGAAGGAGGCTCTGTCTCTGATTCCAGGTTGTCTGTTATTCCTTGCACTGCAACCTCTTAGCTTGTTTCATAGCAGAAGTCTAAATGTGATTTTAATGTCCCTGTAAGTGACAGTGTATTGGAGCAGATTACAATGATGCTATGTTTTTGCGAAATTTGCATCCGTTAATACTTCTACTGTTTTCTTCCGATGCTTTAGGTATTAAATAGATATATGTCGACACCACTAATTTCAACACTCCCAGCTCCTATCATCCCAGTGATACCTCAGCCGTTCATTGCCACTGGACACACAAGAGACTGTGTACGTTTAAGGGGCCTCCCCTACACAGCAACCATTGAAGATATTTTGGACTTCATGGGAGAATTTACAATTGATATAAAACCTCATGGAGTTCACATGGTACTAAATCAACAGGTAACTTGCAGTCTGCTTCTAATACAAGGTCCTTGTCCTTTTGGGAATGCAAACCTCTGGTTAGAATTGGATGAAAAAGACATTTGTGAAGCTACCATTCAATTCAAATGCTATTAAGTCCTTGGGGCTTCTGACATGATTAGCATGCATATAAACACCAAACTGTAAAGCAGACTCTTATTTCAGGTGTGCTAACTGAGTTATGACCAAAAAGTTTGAATCTATTTTAATTTGTTTATTTAGCAAGTTGACCTTCACTATAGTTGTAATATGATGTAGGTTGCTAGCTTTTGTTTGGTTTATGGACAATGCCTGTTGTTTGGGCAAGAGGTTGGGAGGGAGCAAAGTGGGACAATGATATTACTATCTTCAACAAACATCCCTGTTGTGATTCCTGGGTAGACTTAGCTTTGGCATTTTGAAAGTTATCTATTTGCATGTGTGTGGTGTGTGTATGTGAAGCCTGTGTAGTGCTGGGTCTCCTTTTGAAGCTCTAAAGTTTTCTGTAATTCAGATCTGAATTATATTTTGTGTGGTATCTGCTCGCATTGTGAGATGATTCAATCTGGATTTCAACCCTCTTGATTTTTTTTCTTTTTAGTTGTTTCAAATGAACATTTTTGCATTTATGTGCACTTGGGATTGCTGTTAATTACTATTGCAGAAACTGAAGTAAGTCAATCATGTGGTGAAACTGCACATGAAAGGAATCACTGGCTGTTTTCCACCTTGTCTCTCCCATGGCTGAACTTTGTTGATGTTCACCATTCTATGTGGAAAGATGTCATGTTAAAACCCAGTCAGACCACCTACTTTCTTAAGACCAAGCATGAAGATGTATAACTCAGTAACGGGGAACTTTTTTTAACTGTGACTTGTCTCTGTTTTAACTTTGCCATTCTGGTTTCGGAACAAACATCCTTTTGCAATGAAATTACTTGTATTAAGATTTTCATTTTTAAATATGTCTCAGGATTAATGAATTAGGCACTGAGCAAAATAAATTATGTTTGCAGGAACTAACCTGAGCCCAAACATGTTTAGGCAAGTAATAATTGAGGCTGATCTCTTTTGTTTTCTATTCCTACTTTAGCTGTAGGCACCTTGCTGTTGGCAAGAAGCAGTAAGGATTTGAACTTCTTGAGGTTTCATACAGCCTGTTACTCTCACCCTGCTTGCTGTTGGGTGGTTCCAGACTCTCATGTTCACATTAAGTCCATTATAAAGTTGGCAAGTCACTCAGTAACATGAACTGAGACACCAAAAGTTGTCCTCCAAAAAGTGTTAAGGAGCACTGACATTAGCTCAGATTTTAGTAGAATGGGTAAAGCTAGCTGCTGCTTAAGGTTTCAAAATAATTGTTCAAATTGCAATTTTAAAAATAATTGGAACTAACCAGGGTACTTCATAGAAAACAACAGCCTGTACATTATAAGCATTTTGTTTGGTCAAATGGAGGGAATTAAGATTGGTTAATACTCAAGATTTTAGATGTCTTTTTTGAATCAACTTTGTGTCTGCTGGTGCGTGTGTTCAAACTTCTGCTTGACGGAAAAAGTTGTAGGAGAGCATTTCTGGGATGGGATGGGTCTTTGTTGGCAGACTTTCTACAGCAACTAGAGTTTTGAATCAATAATTTAGATATGAATTGGTTTAACTAGTGTTTGATAAATCTGACCAAGCATTTTGCAGTTAGTAAGTGGGGATAAGAAGAAGCCACAAGCACCTGAACAAATGACATTGTCTTGTGACTTTTTTTCCCATGCATGTGCCTTGAGGTGCAGCTCCTCAATAAAGGGAGATGAAAGTCATCTTCAAATATAAATTCCCAGTAATTTGGGAATAAGTTTTTAATTTTGCTGAATTTGTTTTTTAACTGTGACTTGTAGATGGACAACTGTTTTTGTTTGCACTGTCTTCAAGTTGGTCAGCATAAATGTGGCTTAAAACTAAGCCAATTGATTTGATTTGTCATGTGTACCCAAGTACAGTGAAAAGCTTTGTTTGCAAGCAGTGCAGGCAGATCGTAGCAAGCAAGGATATACCGATCATAGGGTGAGAAAAGTCTTTAACAGAGTGAGGCAGACAGGTTATACCGCGCAAGACATGCGTGAGGCAGAACAAAACTAACAAGATCAACATGAGTCCCGTTCATCAGTCTAATAATGGCAGGGAAAAAGCTGTTCTAAAACCTGCTGGTGCGTGTTCAAACTTCTGCTTGACGGAAAAAGTTGTAGGAGAGCATTTCTGGGATGGGATGGGTCTTTGTTGGCAGACTTTCTACAGCAACTAGAGGTGTGAATGAGAAATCCTTGGATGGGAGGTTGACTTCTGTGATGGTCTGGACTGTGCACACAACTTCCTGTAGTTTCCAACCAATTGAGTTTGGTATTGCATGTTTTGTCCTTTTAGAAAAGGTTCTAAGATTTGAAAGTTGTCCTTAATTAAGTGCATTTGCTTTCTTTAAAATATTTTGAATTTGCAATAACTTTTTTTTTGTTCTCTTCTGCCTACGCTGTCTTCCTTTTTGTCCATGAACACCACCGCCCCCCACCCCGCCCCAGGGCCGGCCCTCTGGTGATGCCTTTATTCAGATGAAGTCTGCAGACCGTGCTTTCTTGGTTGCACAGAAATGTCACAAGAAGACTATGAAGGACAGATATGTGGAAGTGTTTCAGTGTTCTGGAGATGAAATGAGCTATGTTTTAATGGGTGGCACTTTAAATCGTAGTGGCTTGTCTCCGCCACCATGTAAGTTACCATGTAAGTTTTGACTTCTGACGCTCTCTTGCTGCTAAAGGCTGAAATTGTGGTAGGTGGAGGCTGGGGCTTTGATATCTCTTCATCCTTTACTTGGTTTGCTGTGATCAGTAATTCATTAATCAAGGCTTGAGATTGAATGAGGGTTTTGATTTTTATTTTATTATTATTTCTTTGTTTTTCTCCACTGCCCATTCTTCCCCCTTCACGAAATGGCAAAATTGGACATTTGCACTGGGCATTTTGTTTTTGCTTTTTCGCGTACTTTCTGGAGCTCTGCAGTAGGCCTGTCTGGTAATAGGATTTTCCAACTTTGGAAACGGTTTTCATGGAGTTGCCAGTGGAGGTTGAAGACTACGTGGCCATTCAATGGGGTGTCTCTGCTTAACGTCCAAGATGTCGTACATGTTCAGACTGCATTTGACTTGTGCAGTTATGAACCCGCACAATTTTTAAAACTGATAAATGTGCCAAGTCAATTTGAAGAAAATGCATGAAGGCAGAGTGAAGGTGTTTATTGGCAGCAGTGCAAATTGGCTGCCTATAGCCTTCAGGGACCTTGAGCGCTTTTGAATGCTAATTATGCATTCAGGTGTTTGGGACGCTTACACATCAGATGAATAAACACATTGCTTGTTCTTATTTATTCCTTTCTCTGTCATCTTGTAGGCCTGTCCCCACCCACGTACCCGACATTCTCACCTGGTACTGCTGTAATACCAGCCGAAGCAGCGCTTTATCAACCCCAAGCTCTTCTGGCTCCAACGCGGACAGCACCCCCACCGCCTGCAGTTGCCTACTATCCTGCTCAGGCAACAGCCACTCAGCTTTATATGAACTACACAACCTACTATCCAAGGTAAACGTTTCGGTGCCATTTCCTATTACGGATCATTCCGGTGCTTGTCATTTGCTCAAATGTTTTGACGTCTCTTTTTAGTGTGCAAATATACTTGGCAATGTAGCTAAGACCTTGGAGAACTTCTGTCACGGTTTTAGTCTTGTGAGAATTTTGGACTGATTTTTCTTTTCCTCCACTTTCCTTCCAGCCCCCCTGTGTCTCCAACAACAGTAGGATACTTTGCAGCTCCTCAGGCAGCCATGGCGGCGGCTGCGGCCAATTCTACAACCCACGCTGTGTTACCGCAGCCCGGAGCACTTGTTCGCATGCAGGGTCTGCCTTATAACATTGCAACAAAAGACATCCTTAGCTTCTTCCAAGGATATCAGGTAAAGCTCAACACTTTATATTGATTGACGATCTTTGTCCTGCCCAGCGCAGCATATTTTGATGTGAGGATATTCTGCATATATGCCTCCTTTATCAGCTTTGCTGTAAAACTCTATATTGTATCTGTGTGTTTGTGTGTGTGTATATTGTGGTTCACTAAGGCCCAAGGATTTCTAACTGAGCAATTTTTTTCCTCATGCGTTCCATTTCTCTTGCTGTCCTGGATATGTTGAATGACGTGCTGATCTTAACGTGAATACATTTTGGACCGTCTCTAGCTTGGTATGGCTGTGTGATGATGGGAGTGCTGTTTACATTACACTGTCTGTGGGGATTTGATTTTTTGACAGGTGTCGATGGTGATATAATTTTAGTGGGAGTTTGGTCTCTGCCATCTCCTGGGAGAAATGAGATGGTGGTGGTCTTTTGGGTTCCTTGTCCACCCCAACCCTTCCCCCTCCCCACCCATCCTTCCTCCTTTTTCCTGCTCCCCATTATAGAGTCCTATTTGGTTTCGTGGGGCTTTTGTACTGCATGTGTGAGCACTTTACTGAGCAGTCGCAGTAATACCAGACCTGCAATAGTATGAATAACCATTTTAATATGGCAGTGAAATGTACTGTCCCAACAGTAAATGTGCAAGTGTCCTCTCTTTCAAAGAAAAACAATTGAAAGTGGGTTCTTCTTTAAAATATGCTGGAACCCATTCTGCTTTCTTTCTTGACTATGTAATTTACTATTCTTGACTGCTTTTACTGCCTTTTCTTTATCTTGCTGGCTACTTTAGTTATGATAATCTGCTTATTTTTGCCAGTCTTATCAGTTGAGACAAATATTTCGGTCAAATCACCAAGTGGAATACTGCTAATCTTGGTCAGTCTACCTGGTGTATAACTTCTACAAATCTAAGCGGGCTAAGGTGTATTGTATTAAAGAGAGCAAGGTCAATACAGAAACCATTTTGTTGATAGATTTGTGCAGTTAGTCCCAAGCATGTTTTTTTAGGAACTGTGGTGTGGATTGACCCAATTTGTGCTTATTGTATACCCAGGTGGGTTTTTTCTAAATGCACCATTTCCAAGAATCCACTATTTAAGATTATCCTGTGGGTATCCAAGGGAATTTTGTTTTCAAATTAATGCTCCATCTTCCTCCTGGGAGTGTGTAGTATTTTCCTTGTTCCTGCTCCCCAGCCCCTGGTATCTAAAATGGATTACAAACACCTTGCCTTGCCTTTTTAGTGAATTCATTGTCTGCCCGCAAAACTGCAACATGTATCTCTCCGTATTAGAGGATTTTTGATTTATAAAACCAGTAAATTATGTGTCTTGGATTCTTTTGAACTTGGGCTGTGTGGGTTTGTATGTCTTTTCTGGATCCTGTTTGGAACGGGGCTGTTTTTATTATTTAACATTGCAATATATATTTTCCATTTAGTATATTAGAGTCACTGGTTCAGACAGTTGGTGGAACACAATGGTTTGGGTCAGATCTTTACAGAACTGCAATAGACCAACCAGATTGTTTACAGGAAAGGCAAGCTAACTAATCTAGTCAATCTTTGTTTGCAATTCAGATTAAAATCCTGAAATGGTGCAGAAGTTTTTCTTCCCCATACTGTATGTCTCTGGACTCTGCACAAAATGAGATTGCATTGCATTAAACATGCAGCAGAAATGAGTCATTAAGGCAGTCAAATATTTTGAATACCTCTTTTTTTAAAATGTGAATGATCGTCTTTGGTCGCCTTTATCTGGGAGGTTTCTAGCTGACAGTTTTTACACTCCTGCCTAACCTTTTCTGCATCTCCTTTCTTCCTTCTATCTCCATCCTCTCCCACAAAAAAAAACACTTTTTTACAATTGCATTCTATGCAAGCAGGTCTGGTAATATGCAAATATTTGCACAGCCTAGCCAATCCAATCTAGAGTACTTTGGGCAGGATTAGTCACCAGATAATGGTTTATTATAAAATGGTGGATGGGTCTAAGCCAAAATTAATGATTCAACAACAGATTGTGACTGCATTGTATGAGTTTGTGAAGGTACACATCTGCTTTTATTGTAATTTTGACTTTTTTGCTTCAGATGCCTGAAGCAATTTTCTCCTGAAATATGAATCTTTGGAAACTGGCAGGAGAGTATTTACTTTTACATCTCTGAAAGTAGTTTGTATAATCTTGGAAACTGGAAAAGACTAACTGGTGCTTTCTAATCCCATCTGTTTATAGTCCCACACTTTTTTTTTTCCCTCTTGAGATGCAGAACATAGATTTTTTTTTTTGTTCTCTCAATAGTTCACTATTTACATTGTACTGTTCAAAGTCGTCACATCTTAGCTATAAAGATTTTTCAACATGTTTAAAAATAGGAATTGATGTTGGATCTCTGATCGGGTATCCATGTTTGAACACTAATGGATAGTGGAATTCTCTGTACAGTGCCATTTTTAATGATTAGCCAGAGTAAACTAAACAGCATTTTATTCATTGTCCTGTTTATATTCCTTGATCCCATTTATAATGAAATTATCCTAACTTCAACAATACTTGTAAACCTGCCAATTATCCACATAATTATACATGGCTCCACAGTGATGTACTAGTTAAATACTAACTTTTATTGTAACCAGTTTTTCCATGATTGGCATTGGCCATGGGTTTGCAATACATAAGGTGGATGAAGATGTGCATAAGTGCAGTGTTAGATATGATTTTGTTTGTCCATTGTTTGTTTTTATAGTTTTTGTTTTTAAATTTTTAGTGCCTTTCGTCTTGCAGTCAAGGCTGTTAATTGATTCATGGCTTGTAAAAGTTAAAGTTCTCTCTTGCCAAGTTGCCAATACCCCGGTTAAGAACTGTCTAGGTGTGGCATTTATGGTGAAGCATAAATTCACCGAGCAATGTTCCTTTTGACTGATGTATGTATTCAAACTTGTACTGTAGTATGCACCTGATGACTACAGCGGCCTTATTCAGATGAACGAACAAGCAAGGAGTATGTTTCAGGCACCCAAAGAGTGGGTCTGTTTGTAGATGACCGTCTTTACAAATTTCAACAAGGTAAGAGAGAAACCTCCCAGCTGGCTTTACGGCCAGGCTTCACTCTCGAGTGACATCAAGTGGTGTTTCAGAACTGGGATTTTTATTTCTCTCTCTACACCTCCTCTCTGGGACTACTATCATCTTTCTTGACCCCCTTCCAATGATGAGCTACAAACGCACGGGTGAGGTGGTTGCACCCATCTTTTTTGAGCAGTGGTGGTTGCAGTGTCTTTCACGAGGCGGGGGAAAACATGTTAAACTTTTCTTTGCATGGCTATGGTAATGCTGGTTCTTCACTCACTGCAGTAGTGCAATCAATTAATAACAAATTTAATGTTCTTTCCACGTAAGTTTAATCTTTCTTGCACAAATTTCTTTCCTTCAAGCAGCTGGGTAATTGTCATGACTGGATTGAAAGTATCCAGAATATGTACAAAATGATGCAATCCTTTGATCATGATGGTTCCTTTTTCAGTTTTAGAAGGCAAAGCAGATGAAGCTATGAAAGGCAACAAGACTGGATTGAATAATGGAAGATGTGTAAATACTTTATAATGAAGGCATCAAAAAATTTAACTTTTCCACAGAATTTAAGAAATATAACTGTGCGGAATCAATAAACTATCCTTTCAGTGGGAAGGAATAACATTCTCAATCCATGTTTTCCATCAAATGGAGAAGTTGCACTGAAATTTTAGGTCTATAAAATAATCTAGAACAAATCATTTCCTGAGATAACAAGGTGTAGAGCTAGATGACCACAGCAGGCCAAGCAGCATCAGAGGAACAGGAAGGCTGACGTTTCG